GAATCCGCTTCGAGTATTACCCACGAGGTTATGTTATATTACTAAATGGTCAACTTTCTCCCCCGTAAATAAATGTGCCATGATGTCTTGTCTCTCGGTCATTGGAGTGATGTTAGCTTGTGGTGATGAGAAATAGTGATGATGGTGTTGGTGAGGATGGTGGTGATGATGAGGGATGGTGATGAGGGTGGTGAAGATGGTGGTGGTGGTGATGATGAGGGATGGTGTTGATGATGGTGTTGGTGAGTCATGCTAGGTGTAGGTGTGGGTTAATCATGCTCCTCCCTCACCCCTGCTAGGTGTAGGTGTGGCCCATCATGCTCCTCCCTCACCCCTGCTAGGTGTAGGTGTGGCCCATCATGGTCCTCCCTCACCCCTGCTAAGTGTAGGTGTGGCCCATCATGGTCCTCCCTCACCCCTGCTAGGTGTAGGTGTGGCCCATCATGGTCCTCCCTCACCCCTGCTAGGTGTAAGTGTGGCCCATCATGGTCCTCCCTCACCCCTGCTATGTGTAGGTGTGGCCCATCATGGTCCTCCCTCACCCCTGCTAGGTGTAGGTACTCACGTTACCGCCTGGGGTCGGGGCCGCCTACGATAAAGACGTGAGTCAGGTGAGGCGGAAGATTAGCACTGGCACCTGCATCACTTGATCCCCCGCCAGCCAGCAGCCACCAGGACACACCGCCTTACACGTGGGAACTGAGTACGGGGGTGCACGGGATCAGGGTCGGCTACTGTAGGTGGTGTAGTGAAGTGAAGTATGGGTGTTTCGGGTGGTGATAGTGGGTTTAGGGGAGGTGTAGGTGGTGTAGATGGAATATTGTTGGTGGTGTAGGTGGAAGGTGTTGGTGTTGCAGTAGTAGTTGTAGTGTTTCCTTGTACAGTTATGAAAGTGGTAATTGATAAAAAAAGACAAAAAAATATGTGACTAGGAATACATAAGTCCATTAAAACTCATTATTACAAAATACAGGTAGTAAATACTTAACAAATACGAAGAAAATGCTATAGTATAGGGGGAAAATATGGTAAATCGTGATAATAAGGGAAAATATAGCAAATCCAGGGGGAAAAGGGTAGGGTAATAAGGAAAATTATAGTAAACCTCGGAAAATATATTGTAATATGGGAATACTATATCAATATGACCGAGGGATATTTTGGTAATTGAGGGGGAAGTATGGTAATATGGTAGTAGGTAGTAGACAGCTATTAAACAGTTCCAGGGTCTCAATTGTTTCTCTTTAACAACACAACATACGGGTACATATCGTGTCTCACTCATGATCTGTTTTGTTTTGTTTCTTTCTCTATTTATTTTATGACGCAATTTGTTTATTCTTTTGTTTTTGTTATTCGCCTTCCCTCCTTCCCCCTAGATGGCAGATACAGGGAAAAGCTACAGTAATACAGGGACATTATGGGAGTAATAAACAATCAGCGGGAAACACAAAGTACAGCACAAAATATCGGTTGAGAATGTAGTAAGATAATGAAGATAGTATTAGGTGAATACAGTGGTGACTACAGCGGTGACTATAGCGGTGACTACAGCGGTGACTACAGCGGTGACTACAGCGGTGACTACAGCGGTGACTATAGCGGTGACTACAGCGGTGACTACAGCGGTGACTACAGCGGTGACTACAGCGGTGACTACAGCGGTGACTACAGCGGTGACTAATAGGTGGCGGTGACTACAGCGGTGACTACAGCGGTGACTACAGCGGTGACTACAGCGGTCACAGCGGTGGCGGACAGCGGTGACTACAGCGGTGACTACAGCGGTGACTACAGCGGTGACTACAGCGGTGAGCGGTGACTACAGCGGTGACTGCGGTACTATAGCGGTGACTACAGCGGTACAGCGGTGACTACAGCGGTGACTATAGCGGTGACTACAGCGGTGACTATAGCGGTGACTACAGCGGTGACTACAGCGGTGACTACAGTGACGGTGACAGCGGTGATAGACTAGTGGTGACTACAGCGGTGAGCGGTGACTATACAGCGGTGACTACAGCGGTGACTACAGCGGTGACTACAGCGGTGACTATAGCGGTGACTATAGCGGTGACTACAGCGGTGACTACAGTGGTGACTACAGCGGTGACTATAGCGGTGACTATAGCGGTGACTATAGCGGTGACTACAGCGGTGACTATAGCGGTGACTACAGCGGTGAGCGGTGACTGTGACTACAGCGGTGACTACAGCGGTGACGGTGACAGCGGTGACTACAGCGGTGGTGACTACAGCGGACTATAGCGGTGACTACAGCGGTGACTGAGCGGTGATACAGCGGTGACTATAGCGGCACAGCGGTGACTATAGCGGTGACTATAGCGGTGACATAGCGGTGAACAGCGGTGACTATAGCGGTGACTATAGCGGTGACTACAGCGGTGACTATAGCGGTGACTACAGCGGTGACTACAGCGGTGACTATAGCCGTGACTACAGCGGTGACTACAGCCGTGACTACAGCGGTGACTACAGCGGTGACTATAGTGGTGACTACAGCGGTGACTACAGCGGTGACTACAGCGGTGACTACAGCGGTGACAGCGGCGAATACAGTGGTGACTACAGTGGTGACTATAGCGGTGACTACAGCAACGACTGCAGCAGATGTATTTGAGAATTATCTATTAAAATAGTAGTGTGGTAGTGGGTGGAGGTGTGGTGGGTGTGGTGGGTGTGGGTGGAGTGGTAGGTGGTGGTAGTGGGTGGAGGTGGTGGGTGGAGGTGTGGGTGGGGGGTGAGAGTGGGTGTAGTAGTGGGTGGAGGGTGTGTGGTAGTGTGGGTGGAGGTGTGGTGGGTGGGTGGTAGTGGGTGGAGGTGGTAGTGGGTGGAGTGGTAGTGGGTGGAGGTGTAGTAGGGTGGAGGTGTAGTAGTGGGTGGAGGTGTGTGGGTGGAGGTGTGGTAGTGGGTGGAGGTGGGTAGGTGTAGTAGTGAGTGGAGGTGTGGTAGTGGGTGGAGGTGTGGTAGTGGGTGGAGGTGTGGTAGTGGGTGGAGGTGTAGTAGTGGGTGGAGATATAACAAGAGAGTGGAGGTAGAGTACTTACATCACATGGGTGGAGGTGTTGCAGTGGGTGGAGGTAGTCAGTACGGAGGGTGCCGGAGGTAGGGGTAAGTACAGTGCCCTGGGAGAGGGAGGTAGCCGTCACCACCTTCACCACGCCCCCACCAGGAGTCTCCGTCAGGCACAGGCTCCTCGGCATCAACACACACGTCTCCATTACTGCTCGTCGTCGTGTTCAAGGGTGACGTGTTCAAGGGTGACGTGTTCAAGAGGGACGTGTATGCATATATACTTAGATGACTAATATTGAGGTTCACTTACACTTCCATTTACACCTTCTGTTTACACTTGTCTGTTCTTATTTACAAGCGTATCTTAATGTTTACACTTGTCTTATTGCTTACACTTGTCATATTGTTTACACGCGTATCTTACTGTTTACACGTGTATCTTGTTGTTTACACTTGTTTGTTAGTGTTTATACTTATTGTTTACACTTGTCTCTTACTGTTTACACATGTCTCTTTTTTGTTTACACTAAATTGCTTCAGTTTCTGTTGTTCATATCTGTAAAATTTTCTTGTGATATTGAAATATTTAAGACTTATTCCCTTTTTTTAATCTATCTATCTATTTTCTTATCCTATGTCTTATACATAATTTACTGGGATTACGTGAAGATTAGGCACCCCAGCTTATAAGATGAGGCACCCCAGCTTATTTTACCTGATGATGCAACACCCTAACGCTGAAGGGTTGGGGGGGGGGGGAAGTTAGATTAGGTTAGATTAGTTTAATTTAGATTATATTTGGTTAAGTTTGGTTAGGTTAATTTAAGTTAGGTTGAGTTAGGTTTAGATTAGTTTAGGTTAAGGTAGGTTACGTTAGGGTGCTTAATTACCATACGAAATTAGCTGGGGTGACTAATCTTCACGTGATCCCATTAAGACCAATGAATATACTATGATTCAAATCTTTCAAAATAAATAAATACATACAAGTTATTTACCTAAACAACAACTAAAAAAAAATAACAAATAATATAACCAAACCTTTATCTTAACTCCCCCTCTAACGATAAACACATTAACTAACTCTGTCTGTACATCATATCGCAATAATCGTATCTTGACGGAACACATTATGACGGGAGGAGCTGTGAGTGACGGGCGAGAGGTGTTGACAGGTGCGCAGGAGTGTCCGGAAGGAGAAGAAGGAGGAGGAGCGCGGGAGGAGAGTGTGTACGGGTCGCCCACTAACACACTACTGACCCCCCGTCACCTGCCTCACCTCCCACCTGGCCCCGCCCACCTCCACCTGACGTCACCACCTACAACCCCCCCCCCTACCCCACCCCACCATAGGTTGATGATGTACCAATGATTCTTTGTTGTTGTTATTGTTATTGTTGTGATTGTTGTTATTATTTTGTCTACGATTAGAACATCATAAAAGAAAATTGGGTAAATTCATTAGAAAAAATAATTAGTCAAAATTTATGGAGAAAAAAAAAGTAGAATTACGACAAAAACATTAGAGAAATTGCAAAAAATTTCTGATAATTATCGACTCAAGATCTACAGTATACCTGTATATTTATCTACTTATGTCTATCAGTCTATTTAAATATCTAATCTAATCTCTTTTAGTTTAATATATCTACCTATCTATACATCACACACACACACACACACACAACCGGTCCACATGTTGCTCTTTGAATAACCACAACCACGTAAGCCTACAGTACCTCAGACATACAGCCGCAACACCAGACCAATGTTAAAAAGTGACCCTATGATCCGTAGAAGACTTGACAACTCTCTCAGGGGAACGACTCATGGTCACTATATGTAATGTTTGGTGATTGTTCAAGGGGTGGTGGGCTAGTGTGTTTTGTTTTTCCTCAAGAGATCGTTTGTTTTTGTTGGTTATTGTTGTTGTTATTGTTGTTTTTGTTGGTGGTGGTGTTGGTATTGTTGTTTTTCTTGTTGTTATTGTTGTTGTTATTGTTTTCTGTTGGTTGTAGTTGTTGTTATTGTGTTATTATTTTTGTTTTTTGATGTTGCTGTTAGTATTATATCCACATTGATTATCTTCAGTAAATATGGGAAGGGTTTATTATCACTAAATATAAGTGTCAAGATTATTACGGTGATATATATTTCCTTTACTTATAAGAACATAACACTACTACTTTTTACTAGATTCGTTATATATTCTAGGACTTTTGATTATTATCGTTGAGACAGATCCTGCTTCATATATCTAGTTATATATGCAAATTAACCTACACATTTTTTAGAATCACCTTTATGTCGTAACTTAAATTAACCTTAAGTTAGATACATTTTCACATATCCAGTAAAGAGAAAAGTTTAAATTAACATTCTTTTGTAAATTTATCTTTGTGTCATCGTTTAAATTAACAAATTAAAAAGATCTATTGAGAATCCATCACTGTGTCGTGAATAATGTTAGTCAGCTTAGCGTATACGAACCTTTGAGAATTCATCTTTGTGTTGTAACTAAAATGAGCCAGTTTTCCACGTCTCCAGTTAGGTGGAAACAGTGAAGTACGAACCTTTTGAGGACCTTGGCACCTGTCTGAGACGTGGGGGACCTTCAGGTGACAATAAGATCAAACATGGTTCAATTTTCCACCCAGCGTGTGCGAGGCAGCCTGGTCACGCCTGCTGGGGGTGACACAAGAGAGAGTTGCAGGAAGGATGAGTTAGGAATATGGGAACACAAATGGCGGCGACATGATCCTGCTGCCTCCCACACCAACCTCCTCCAAATGGCTGAGAGAGAGAGAGACAGAGATGCACCGTTCTTCACATTGAAAGAAGGATCGATTGATAGATAGATAGACAGGTAGATAGATAGGTAGAACAATTTGCACCTTAAGAGAAAGAGAGACAGAGAGAGAGAGCGAGATAAAGCATCTTTCGCCTCAATAAACAGAAAATCAGAGATACAACGTTTTTCACCCTGAGAGAGAGAGAGAGAGAGAGAGAGAGAGAGAGAGAGAGAGAGAGAGAGAGGTCATAGCTTGTTATCAACAAACATCAAAACTCGTAAGGACACGGTCGATTAGAAACGCCCACAAGGTTTAACACTTCTTAAGAAATTTGTCACAATGCAGCGCCCTTTGTGGAGTTGCCAGCGTGAGTAGTGACTTACGATAATTCCCACCAGGAGTGAAATAGTAAAATAGTGAACGATTTATTATGATTAGGAATATATTGCGATATATTTAAGAAAATTTGAATTATTACTCCATTTAAAATTCTAAAAAAAGGTGAAATATATTGACCTTTGAAGCTATAATGTAATGACCGTCTATTATTATTATTATTATTATTATTATTATTATTATTATTATTATTATTATTATTATTATTATTATTATTATCTTCTCTTGTAAGGATCACTTTAGCGATGCATTGAAATCACCGGAAGATTTTTCATAACTTTTACAGTTCTTAGATGGCGATTTATTATAGATTAGGAAAATAAAGACACCCCCTCACACTACTGACACCACCCAGATCCTCTCCTGACACCCCAGACACCACCCAGATCCTCTCCTGACACCCCAGACACCACCCAGATCCTCTCCTGACACCCCAGACACCACCCTGACGCCATCTTGACACACACACATATTAAATAAAAAATATTCTATGGTCACAATGATATTAAATTAAATATTATAAACTATAGAAAATTGGATTTGTTTTGTTTCTATCGTTTTCGGCTAAGTTTATATTGTAAACTGACAAAAGCCATTGAAGTAGACTTTATTCACTTGTTTTTGCTGTTGATATTTTTGTATAAGCGTTGGTGAAATTGTTAATACAGAATACAGTAAATGACGACTGTATTGGGGTGTATTAACCTGTACGAGTAATTCTCCAGGTATAGATGACAGCCACAAACATAGTGACTGTATCTCTTATGATCAGTCACTTCCTACCCTGACCCATCCTTTCCCCCTCATACCTTACACTCTTCCTCAACATACCTGTATATTACCTGTATAACACCTGATACCAAGCCGTCAACCATGGTAGCTCTATATTCCATGTTATACCTAATACACTCAATCGCTGTTTTCTTTGGTAACTGTGTGGCGATATCTTCACTACTCCCACAGAGGTTCACGTAGATAGCTTGGTATCACCCTTGGTAACAGTGGTATAGGAAGGCCGTGGTCCACCTGGCTGGTAGCTGGTACGCGTCATTGTTCTGGTGAGGTACAAGATGGTATCGGCTCCCTCGGCATCCATCTCACGGGCGGCGGGGCGTCTTTGATCACCAGCCGCTACAATAACGCTCACCAACCCGTACGCTACTGACTAGGGGGGCTGGCTGTAAGGGGGACTAGCTTTAAGGGGGCTGGCTGTAAGGGGGCTAGCTTTAAGGGGGCTGGCTGTAAGGGGGCTAGCTTTAAGGGGGGGACTATATTGGGTACCAGAACGCACTTATTTGCGTCTGTGGGTGTTTCTTTGTTTACGTTTGTGTAAGTGTAAATATATATATATATATATATATATATATATATATATATATATATATATATATATATATATATATATATATATATATATATATATATATTATTGCGTGGGATTTTGCGTACGTCTCTGAGTGTGTGTATGTGTGTGTGTGTCAAAGCGACATACATAGTAATTATACCAGAGATATTTATGTAAGTAAACACCTGTACAATAAAAACAATTATTTGTACCTGTGCAAGTTAATCCACCCCCCTGATCCCATTACACCACAGTGGTCTATAGGGCTTCTGGGGCTGTGGTGTCGTGTAACTCCGGCCTTGTTGACATAGGGAACAGCTGATGTCTTGTTTATTAATAAAATATATGTCTCGGGCTGTTGTTGTGACACAGGTGAATGACCCCATATCTGGTGTCTTTACTTTATAATTTAGTCAATATGATAGTGTTTGGTGGAGATCTTGGTTGGTTTAGAAGTGTGTGTGTGTGTGTGTGTGTGTGTGTGTGTGTGTGTGTGTGTGTGTGAATTAACAGTATATGGGTTGTGTGACTGACACAAAGGACTACAGAGGGGGCAAAAATCTAGACCGGGGACACAAATGAAGAGGTGAGGGGCGCCCTATACCCCAAGCCGCCTTTGGGGTGCCCTAGACCGCGAACCACTCTTGGAAGCGTACATGTGTGTGTTACGTCATTTATAATACATAAATTACTCAACCCTCTCATATAGCAAGGTGTTCATTCATTTAGAGAAACGTTGTCTTCTGGCCAACACCAGAGAGAGCTGTTCGATTACATTCATTTTTCCACAGGTGTTCTCTGGATGATAGTAAGTAATGAAAATGACATACCAGCTTTTCATTTTAATTGTACAAGTTTTTCTGTATCTACGATCATAAATCATTTGTGGTAGCCAGGGTATGAAGGATGAGAGAAATTGTGGGGTTAAACTTGGTAAAAAACTGATCGTATAACACCAAAGTGATGTCTCTATGTGTTTCGTACGCAAAGAAATTAATTATTACCTTAAATATTGTGCTGAAAAATCTACCATGTCGGCGTGGGCTGTCATCCGCTCTGCTTGTTTCCATGCAACAACCGAGCTGCTCGGTCCAAGCGTACTCTCGTGTCTTCCACCCCAAAAAAAACCAAAACAGTTAAATTACATAATGCTGCTTCAAGAAAGTTGTTTTCATTGGTACCACATATCAAAGTGCAGTACTTCCTGTTTAATATGCCGGGGCGGGGTCTGCCCCCCCCCCCCGCTAGGACGTTAGGTGAGGTTAGATACATTTCTTTGGTTGGTTGGATCAGGTGAGGTTGTGTGCATTGTCGTATCATTTTCATCATTTACTATCATCCAAAGAACATCTGTGGAAAAAATGGACGAAATTGGTGTTTGTCGTCTGCTTCACCTGTACGGTTTATTTTGCACTTGTTCAAATTTTGTGAATACTTGAGTAATATTATCATACTTAAGTTTTGGTCTGACAGTAGCTATTATTCCTGCAGCTAACTTCTACTGATGATGGCCGCCATTTGAGAATTAAGAAAGTAATCCATCCTCGTACTCAGTGAGGATTATGGAGAATCAGTTCCTAGCATAGGGACCCACCTGACTTGTATCCGATAATGGGTGAACCACATCATCAAGGACAAAGGTAAGTAATAAACAATAGCTTTGTTTTAAATCATGAAAGATCATTAAATCAAATTACTATATCATGGTAATTGCCTTGAGGACATCTGTGTTTTCTGGGCTTGCGGCTTCTTCAACTTTGAGCTGTGATCCCTTGTGAGGCGAGCGTCCTCCACCTCCAGGTAAGGACACCTGACTGAGTAGTGCCCTTGAGTTCTTTATACTGGAGCATAGAGATCTGGAAGTTAGGGAAGGGTGGCATCCTAAGTTGTTTCGTGAGTTCAGATAATTGCTATATAAATTGTTATATTTAATTTCACCTTATCAGGAATTGGGCATTTCGTTTGCATAAATACTGTACAGGTACTAAGAATATTAGAAAATAGCTTACTCACACTTGTCGAACATACTGACCCAGGAAATATCTCCACAATTTGAATAACATTATAGTCTAATATGTAGTAACTGTCTGTCATCGTGTACCGAGTTGGCTGGCGTTTAATAGTTTCAACATGAATCATCATTTACGATGGCTGCGAAATCTTGAATGACGTCAAGTTCGGGTATGATGAAAAGTGACTGTGGACCGCAGGAATCACTTTGAGGCTATGTGTTGTACAAAATTACATTAACAAGGTCGTGGTTTAAGAATTAATATTTTGTAATGAAGAGTAACATTGAGTTTCATAGTCCTGATGGCTTGTTATGGGCGCCATGTATACAACTCGCAACACTTCATGTCCTCAACACATTAAATTTAAATAATAAAATCCCCCAAGCTTTGTATTTCTGGGATATTATTTAATGAATAAAAACTCTACAATGACTATTAACACAAGGATAAAATAAGGAAAACAAAATAATTTTATTAAGTTTCATTACAGAAATACAGTACAGTATATACAGTCTTATTATACTGATAATATAGGGTGATGTGTTTTATATGAGAACCTTTAATAATTCCCATGACGCACAAAATTCACACAAATACAACATAACAAACAGAACCCACAAACAGAACCCACAAACACAACACAACATAACAAACACAACCCACAAACACAACCACAACAAACACAACACAACAAACACAACACAACAAACACAACATAACAAACACAACACAACAAACACAACCCACAAACACAACCCACAAACACAACACAACAAACACAACACAACAAACACAACACAACAAACAAAACAACAAACACAATACAACATAACAAACACAACCACAAACACAACACAACAAACACAACAACAAACAAACACAACACACAACACAACAAACACAACACAACAAACACAACACAACAAACACAACACAACATAACAAACACAACACAAACACAACCACAACAAACACAACACAACAAACACAACACAACAAACACAACCACAACAAACACAACACAACAAACACAACATAACAAACACAACCCAACAAACACAAACACAACAACAAACACATAACAAACAAAACAACAAACACAACACAACAAACACACCATAAAACAAACAACACAACAAACACAACAAACACAACACAACAAATAACACAACAAACACAACACAACAAACACAACAAACACAACAAACAACACACAAACACAACACAAACACACACAACAAACACAACACAACAAACACAACACAACAAACACAACACAACAAACACAAAACAACAACAAACAACAACAACACAACACAAACACAACCACAACAAACACAACATAACAAACACAACACAACAAACACAACATAACAAACACAACCCACAAACACAACCACAACAAACACAACACAACAAACACAACATAACACACAAAACAACAAACACAACACAACAAACACACCATAAACACAACAAACATAACACAACAAACACAAAACAACAAACACAACACAACAAACATAACACAACAAACACAAAACAACAAACACAACACAACAAACACACAACAAACACAACAAACATAACACAACAAACACAACACAACAAACACAACACAACAAACACACCACAAACACAACAAACATAACACAACGAACGCAAGCACAGTGAGCGCCATCGTTTGACTAAGTAAAACCCAATAAATGCCACTGATGGGTCACACAACACCTGAGGATAATGTCACGTCTTTCTGTAACATTAGACCTCGTTCATGACTAATACAGTTTTTAGTGTAGGAAATTATTTAAGGTCTTTGAATATAAAAAGTCACCAACTAACTATTGGTGGTTATGGGTTAGTTTTAAATATAGAAATAAATACATTAAGAAAAGATCGATAATTACAGTACATGTTTTATATTTATTTATTTTTGTAACATTATTAATATTATGATGAATGTTGTGTTTTATTATTATTATTATTCATTCATTCATTTGTTGTTCAGTTCATTCACTTATTTTATGAATCCATTACTTTCTCTTCTTTACTGTTATTCATTATTATACTTCAGATAGTCAAAATTCAGTTCAATGTAAAATAAAACTTAACATAACTCATAATTTAAGTCATGGATGATAATAATGGTGACGATGATGCTGATGATGACGATGACGATGACGATGACGATGATGATGATGATGATGAAGATGACATATTTTACTTCTTGTCTGTTAATCATTTTAATTACAACCCTCGTCATGTTAGTTTTGGAATCTACATCATGTGACCCACTTAAATAAATGAAGTCATTGTACTAGTAATAAATTTGACTAATATAAGAAAGTTACTCGGCTCTGTATTATACACTTAAATTATGATAGTGCTGTAGCTGTGTTAAAAATACCTTCTACTTAGAAAATATACGACTACGTGATCCATTTGTAAGGAAAAGGATCATAAAGGTGGTTAACGTGGCTGTATTGTACCTTACTGTAGCCTACCTGTGTAACACCTGCACACTTGGGGAGATATTGAACTCAGCTGATTTCTTTTTCATTGCTATAAATTAACGCAGGAGAGAGATAAGTTTGGAGGACTATGATTGGCTATTTTCCTGACGACGATTTTTGTCACCAGCAGGAAGACAGCGGGAGCAGGAGATTTATACTGTATATAGAGTCCAGTGTGGAAGGGAGGTACATAGAGCAGATAGTCAATGTTGTAGGAAGAAGAGCTTTTAATAGAAACTCCTGATTTATTAAGGTCTTCTGTAGAGGCATTGGTGCCTCCCCAGTAGGTGTGAGAGGCTGCACCTTGTATCTCGCTGCACGTGGTTCCTGTAAGTTTATTTGCACGTGTAGATCTCTGTTGTTCGTGAGCAGTTATGACAGAGAACTTCACAGCACCATTTGACCCTACAACGACACGGCTCCCACAGCACACTCACAGTGGTGTCGTAGCCGCGCCCACAACACAGCATGTCGCAATTTTCCCTCTTCTTACAGGCGCGCCCTGAAGTGCCTGGACCGTGCTTGTTCTTGTGGCAGTAATTGGGCGAACTATCCAGGTAGATGAGCTTTGTTGGGTCTCCGAGAGGCGATCTACAAGGCCTCTTGAATAACTGACTCCGTTTTTCGTTCCTTTGTGAGGGTCTGTGGGCTGTGTTGCCGAAAGATCTCGGGATGCGTTTGTTGTGATGTTTTGAAGATGTGTCTCCGATCAGTCGAAAGTCTTCTCTCTCCATCCGGTGGTCTTGTAGAGGCATCTGTAGCTCCCATGGTGTGAGTCCTCCAGGGTTACTGTGTATGGTCCCTGAGACCTGACCATCGTCATCACCAACTGTACGAGTAAACCTTCCCATCTTCCTCTGTCTCCTCGCCCGAGGTCTGTTCATGATCTGTGAAAATGAGTCACTTTATATATGAGGTCACTTTACATATGAGGTCATGTTACATATATCGTATACATATAAATTTACATTACTTAATGATTCTTTAAGTTTTGGTAAATTCACAAAGATATGTGGTTCTCCTTCAACTTGTCTCATGATAGTGAAGTCATTTTACCTTAAAATTAATTGTGCTAAGAACCAAGGAAATAAAGTATGCACTTAAACAGTATAATTTATAGTCATCATTCTTGAGGGCTCTCAAAGGGACAGAAAACAACATTGTGTGGGAGGAAGAATGTTGCCTGAAGATTCTTTGTTTCTGAAAATTCACCAAAAAATGTGGTACAGTACATGGTAGTTCTAATTATTATTATTATTATTATTATTATTATTATTATTATTATTATTATTATTATCATTATTATTTTATTAATATTATTATTATTATTATTATTATTATTATTATTATTATCATTATTATTTTATTATTATTATTATTATTATTATTATTATTATTATTATTATCATTATTATTTTATTAATATTATTATTATTATTATTATTATTATTATTATTATTATTATTATCATTATTATTTTATTATTATTATTATTATTATTATTATTATTATTATTATTATTAGTAGTAGTAGTAGTAGTAGTAGGTCTGCTTTGCTCTGCCTCAGGGGAACGAGAGCATCGGCCCCAAAGCCGACAACAGCTGCAGATATTGACTATGAGGCAACAGTCACTGAATGCTGCATAGATCTGCGGCTCAACTAACTAAACACAGATAGGATAGCTACATATGTATTAGGATGTTTAATTTTAAGTTAATAAAATGGCGGCGGAGGTGTGGCTATTAGGGGAGGCTGGAGGCCATATATTACGTAGCAGTAGTAGTCATCACCATCACCTGGGCCTCGTTCTTGGTGTGAGCGACGGCAGCTGTGTCGTAGAGGTGTTTGATAACCCTGGTGGAGGCGGCGAAGGAGGGCAGCTGCATCCAACAAGTCTTCATGGTGCAGGAGCCAGACACACCGTGGCACTTACACGTCTGCTGGGATCCCTTCATCACTGTCTGCAAGCAAGGAAGTAATTAGGATTAGAACCAGCAAGTTTAGGAAGAATATGGCCTATCTTATCTTATCTGCTTATCATGACCCTTTAAACTTGCTAAAAATATAAAATTGTAGACCTACCCTTATGGTGACCCTTTCCTCATCTAGGCCCATTTTACCGGAGTCCTAATATGGCTATCTTATCGTTATTCCTATAGGTCTATCTTAGCATTATCCCTTCAGGCCAATCGTACTGTTATCCCTATAGGCCTAACTTACCATTATCCTGATAGGCCTATCTTACCGTTATCCCTGTAGGACTATCTTACCACAATCCCCACGCAGGCGTTGTGGGCGTCGATTTGGGACTTGAAATCTCGGCTCCTCTGAGGGCCACGTCTGCTGGAGGAGTTAGATGGGATTCCACTTCCAGATCTCGACTGTCGCCTACTGTGCCGGCGCCTCTTACCCTGGAACAACTTCTCTGCGAACCTGAGGAAGTGGAAACACCTTTAAGATGGCAGAAATTATTTGTAATACAGGCAATTTGCATATATACAGTATTATGTATTTGTAGGGTTAGCAATGGGCCTGTTATATATATATGGAGGTTTTGTGAAAAAGTACCATGGAAAAGAACCTCCTGACCCCCGAAGGAGCATCTCCTGCCCCCTGAAGAAGAACCTCCTGCCCCCTGAAGAAGAACCTCCTGCCCCCTGAAGAAGAACCTCCTGCCCCCTGAAGAAAAAACTCCTGCTCCTGAAGAAGAACCTCCTGCTCCCTGAAGAAGAACCTCTGCCCCTGGAAGAAGAACCTCCTGCCCCTGAAGAAGAACCTCCTGAAGAAGAACCCCTGCCTCTGAAGAAGAACCTCCTGCCCCCTGAAGAAAAGAACCCCTCTGCTCCTCTGAAGAAGAACCTCCTGCCCCTGAAGAAGAACCTCTGAGAAGAATGAGAAGAACCTCCTGCCCTCTGAAGAAGAACCTCCTCTCCCTGAAGAGATGAACCCTCATGCCCCTGAAGAAGAACCTCCTGCTCCTGAAGAACTCTCCTTCCTGCCCCCTGAAGAACCTTCTCCTGAAGAACCCTGAAAGAAGAACCTCCTGCCCCCGAAGAAGATTCTCCTGCCCCCCGAAGAACCTCCTGCTCCTCTGAAGAAGAACCTCTGCCCCTGAAGAACCTCCTGCCCCTGAAGAAGAACCTCCTGCCCCTGAAGAAGAACCTGCCCCTGAAGAACCCTGGAAGAACCTCTGCCCACCTGAAGAAGCGCCTCCTCCTGAAGCACCTCCTGCCCCCCTCCTGAAGAAGAAGCACCTCCTGCCCCTGAAGAATCACCTCCTGCCCCTGAAGGCCTCCTGCCTTGCCCACCTCCTGCCCCTGAAGAACACCTGCCCCTGAAGAATCACCTCCTGCCTTCTGAAGAAGTACCTCCTGCCCCTGAAGAAGCACCTCCTGCCCCCTGAAGAAGAACCTCCTGCCCTTGAAGAAGCACCTCCTGCCCCTGAAGAAGCACCTCCTGCCCCTGAAAATCACCTCCTGCCTTCTGAAGAAGCACCTCCTGCCCCTGAAGCCCCCAGAATCAACCCTCTGCCCCCTGAAGAAGCACCTCCTGCCCAGCACTGCCCCTTGAAGAAGCACCTCCTGCCCCTGAAGAATCACCTCCTCACCCCTTCTGAAGAAGCCTGCAGCCTCCTGCCCCCTGAAGATCAGCTTCTGCCCCTGAAGAATCACCTCCTGCCTTCTGAAGAAGCACCTCCTGCCTTCTGAAGAAGTACCTCCTGCTTGTATTAGCCCCTGTCTTATAGACATAACTATTTATGTAAATATGGGTTAATATATTTGTATTGTGTAACTATCACCCCCTGTAATTTTCCGTAGCTGTGAGGTAACATGTTCAAAGCTCGTGATGGTAAGTTCCACGCACTAGGCGTATCCTGAGAATACCCTAGGTCAGCTATCTTGGGCTTGACCCACGGGCAGTATCTACTCAGTTCTCACTACAGTCGGACGTCCTTAGAGCTCTGTCCTTCCTATAGCCCTCACAGTTACAGTGACTATTACGAGGATTATCCTTTGGACAGTGTACATAGACTCTTTTGATGATAAACCAAGAAAAGGAACATATTGGGTTTCGCGACTAAAACCCTATAAACTCTTATCTCTATTCTAGTTCGTCTAGAATATAAGGTAACAGCTTCATAAGTCCCTGTTACGAGTGTGACCACCCAGCAAGGTTGTTACACATATGACAGCTTCGCAAGTAGTTGTTATACAACAGTAATAGTCACCTAACAGTTACACAGTTGATAACGGTAGAGATAATTTGTTCTCCCCATTACTGTGTTACATTGTTACTAGAAGTTATTGTTACATTTTCCCTGAAGAAGAGGAACCTCTTGCCCCCTGAAGAAGAAACTCTTGCCCCCTGAAGAAGCACCTCCTGCCTCTTGGAGAAGAACCTCCTGCCCCCTGAAGAAGAACCCCTGCCCTCTGAAGAAGTACCTCCTGCCCCTGAAGAAGAACCTCCTGCCCTGAAGAAGAACCTCCTGCCCCCTGAAGAAGTACCTCCATGCCCCTGAAGAAGTACCTCCTGCCCCCTGAAGAAGTACCTCCTGTCCCCTGAAGTACCTCCTGCCCCCTGAAGAAGACCCTCCTGCCCCCTGAAGAAGTACTGTACTTCCTGCCCATCACACTAACACACACCTATGGGCTCCTGCCCCACACAGACACACGGACACATACTTCCTGCCATACTTGAGGTCATCTCCGCAGCCTCCCCACCTCCAGGCCTTGAGGGTGTCGGGGGTGGAGTGGAGGGAGGAGAGGCAGGAACACGGTGTGAGGCGGCCCCTTGCACACGCTCTGGAAACCACATGTGCTACTGAAGCTGATGACAAGGCCTCTAAGAATGCTGTCTCCTGCATCGCTGGAAAAAACACATTCATCATCATCGTCATCATCATCATCATCGTCATCATCATTACTATTTCCCCTCACCTTCCCCTTAACATAATCTTCCCATCATGTCTTACCTTTTCTCATGATCTTCCTTCTGGATCGGCCAAGTGAGCAGTTCCATCGGTTGTAGGTCATGAGGTCCTGGCAGTGAGTGGCTCCTAACCAGGCAGCCTCCACTATTACCTCCGCCACCTCCACCGACCGCCCACACTCCCTCCGTCCCCAACCCTCCACACCCACACGCTCACATAACTGCGGGAACACGATTGGGGAGTATGAGTGTGTGTGTGTGAATGTTGGGCAGGTGTGGTGATAGTTTAAAGCTTTCTATCTCTCTTTTTTCTCACTTTCTCTTAAACTGTATGTCACTATCTTTCTCTCCCTCTCTTTTACATACACATCTCTCTCTCTCTCTCTCTCTCTCTCTCTCTCTCTCTCTCTCTCTCTCTCTCTCTCTCTCTCTCTCTCTCTCTCTCCCACGATCTCTCACTATCTCTCACTCACCGTACGTAGGTCTACATAGGAGAGGTTAAGACTGGTAACACTGCTGGCGAGGAGACTTTTATCCACCTTCCTTCTGCTCGACACCCTGCAGATTAACATGTTAAATGAGTACAGGTTTATTTTATGGGTCATAGTCACCTTGATGTTTATATTCACCTTAACGTTATAGTATAATTCTAACCTTATTTTTAAACTTCTATTTCATTTTTAATCGTCTTGATCATCTTCATTTACAAGACGTTAGATATTTCTGTTAATTTATCCCTAATTACACCAAGTTGCCCTTATTGTTTACTCACATAATAGGTAACGAGTTAACAATGCAACTGACGACAGTACATCCTTATTATTAATTATGATTAGTGATATTGAATATTGTTGATAACTATGTTAATACCGTATGTCCTAAGAGACTTTACAGAACACTGAAACTCGCTAAAAGTGTGTTCTATCGCTTGATCCTCCAGTCGCTTGGTGTTGAAGTCGCTGCTGTAGGTCTGTTACCTTCGCTTCTTTGGGGCGACGTGAAGGGAAAGTTTTGCTCTTACAGCTGATGATCTGTGTCACAGTGGTCTGAGCCACGCATAGGTCTGGTAAAGTGGATATCTCGGCGATCTCTTTCTCCGGCAGTGATTAGGAAATGAGATGTGTTGCCAAGAACCCTTGAACTTGTCGGCCTGCCTAAACAAAGTGTTGGTAATAGTGAGTCTGTGTTCAGCGCACTTGCTGAGGAGGAGAAGGCTGTTTAGATTACACATACCAGTTCTGTTTCTCCCTATAGTTCCTTGCCATAAGTCAGCATCTCTACCAACTCTGGCGTTGAAGTCTCCTCGGAGCACAACCTAATTTTCTCTGGGAAAGAGGTTAGTACTTTATCAAGGCCGGCGTAAAAGGCCTCCTTGATGTTATCCTTTGCATCCAGTGTTGGGGCGTATGCGCTGATGAAGAAGGCATGACGTGAGTCGTTCAGTGGGACTCGGAGCGTCATTAAGCACTCGTTGACCTCAACAGCCATTTCAGTTAGCCTATACAAGAAGGATTGACGAATGGTAAAGTCAGCTCCATAAATGCGGTTTCTCTCTGCAGGAAACTCCCTCATCTGGGAGCCGGGACTCACTTATGGCTGTTATGTCGATGTTGTATCTTGACAGCTCTTTTGCCACAAGAGCGGGGTCTTCTTTCAGGATGCTCACTTGTGCTAGTATCCAGAAGGGTCCTGACATTTCATGTACCGACCATAGTTTGTTTTTGTTTTGGTCTGTTGTTATGTCTTCAACAGCATTAGGATGACTTTACTGGGTGCAGTTGCCATGTCACGTAAATTTTTGGGCAGGCCATGTTTAGTGCACCTTTTCTAACCCCCTCCCCATGTAGAGTGGCTCCTGGAAGGGGCTGCTCAATCATACAGGTAGGAATTGAATTCCACTGCTGCCTAGATCCCAGTGCATAAACCACCGTCTTATTTGTGCTGCTCATATGCAGTTGTGACTAGAGACTCGTGGCAGTCATCTCTGCCTTTCCCCATCGCTGCTTATCTGTCACTGTAGGAGTTTTGGGGGTTTAGTGGTTTGATGATGATGGGGAGAGTGATGGCTGCGTGTGAGTTGATTTATGTGATGATGCAGGAGTGCAGGCTGCAACCACACATATTGGCTCTCCCTTTTCTTGATACAGTGATGCAGGTAGTTGCAAGAATTGGGGAGAGGGAGAGTTGCAAAGGACTGTCTATCGATAGCCCAGTTTGTTGGGTTTCACCTTAGATGCCTGTCTATCTTGAATTGCCTTCATCTGCCAGTGTAGTCATTGGGTTCCCGTGGTGGGTGGTGGTGGTGGTGGTGGTGGACGATGATGGGTGGTGGTTGTGGCGGTGGTAGTGATGGTGATGGGTGGCATGGTGTGGGAGAGCGGTAGGAGAAGTGGAAGGAGAGAGAGTATTGTTGGTGGTGTTTGAACAGCAGAGCGTCATGTTGCTTGATTACTCGAGACTAATATGGAAATTTTGTCTGCATAGTAATTATACACATTATTGGCGAGGCAATTATGTATAATGAAGACTATACAACACAACACTTTTGATATAGATACTTACAGCATCTCCCAATACCTACTGAAAATTGAATGACAATAAGAATAAAGACAAAAACACAGATACACTTCACAGTAGACTTTCACTTGTTTCACTGTTACTGTAGTGTCGAGAAAGTGTCAGAACGGCTTTCATTTTTCAGCTGGCATATGTATTCCTGCTCACTAGGTCAACAAAATAACACAAACAAATTAATAAAAACTAATTAGATTATAACATAAATATTTAAGAGCAGATTATTATCATTCATATCTTACACACACACACACACACACACACACACACACACACACACACACACACACACACACATGGGTGCTGGTATATTTGTTTTGTTTTGTTTTTTAGTTCTTTGCCTAAGAAAGGATAACAAAGTTTAGTTCAGAGTAAATTGGGATAATTTTCCGAACTGTCAGGTATGATATCAGATTCGCCTCAGATAATGCAGTAGGTGAGTTTGGGTTTTATCGCCCTCTGAGATCTTTAAATTATGTTTTATTTTGTATTTTTTAAATTCGTTTTTGTTTTGCATTGATAAGAGTTAATAGTTTAGAATTTAAACCCTAGAAAGGCACAATTTGATGACGTCCTCGAGTTTTTGGTGTGAAGGATGTGAGCCAAACCTGCAGCAAAGGTCCCTCCCTCTTCTACATCACTACCCTGAGGGACTGGAACATTGGTGCTCTGGGGTCTCCGGTGGCTTCAGTCAGGACCCTCCATACCTTTTGATCTATTGGGACTAAGAAATATTCACGCCTTTAAGCCTTATGACATTTTTTTCCTGGAATTTGTAGCCGTAGTTCATGCTAGACATCGTTTAGCATCATAGCATAATCAAGGATAGTTTATGCCAGCTTAATTAGGTGTGTAATGATGCTATTTATTGACAATACACACACACACACACAGACACACACGCACTAATATGCACTACAAACAGAAACACACACACACACACAGACACACACATGCACACACACACACACACACACACACACACAGACACACACACACACAGACACACACACACACACACAGACACACACACACACACACACACACACACACGCACTAATATGCACTACAAACAGAAACACACACACACACACACACACAGTAGTAGGCAGCTATCAAACAGGGAGGTACTACCGCCTGGGAAGATATTGGAAGCATAATGTATTGTCTAATGGTAGATCCTGCTGCTATATGGCATCACGAAAATTGTGACCAAGTCCCAGGTTGCTGATCTGACTTTCTGCCTCATTTACACACAATTGCAGGGTCTCAATTGTTTCTCTTACTTTGACAACACAACATACATACCCCGTATATCATTTCTCACTATTGATATATTTAATTTTTTATGGCTCTTTATTATTATTATTATTATTATTATTATTATTATTATTATTATTATTATTATTATTACTATTATTATAATTATAATTTATATTAAATGTTATTAATTTTATTATTATTATTATTTTATTATATTTTCGCCCCCAGGCCTTGATGTGGATCATAAAATGACCTGTGCCCGAGTGGGCTAATGCCCGTAAAACACACACACACACACACACACATACACTTTACTTTCCTTCTGTGCATCATACACGGATGGAATAACCCTGAAAAAAAAGCATCTACTTAATCTCCCTATTATCCATTACATAATAGCTTCCATCAGCAGTCACGGACACGCACAAGCTCCCTCACGCTCATAAAGGACCGCACCGTGTTTGTTTAAACCCTGAACTGCTCGTCACTGTCTTGGCCAACTCGTTTGCACTGTATATAACGCGCCGTCTGTTTACATTCTTAGGTGGGGGAAGAAGATCACGTGTGTGTGTGTGTGTGTGTGTGTGTGTGTGTGTGTGTGTGTGTGTGTGTGTGTGTCATGTGTGTGGCCATACTTAAGTGGGTCTGTAGGGGATGCTGGAGGCGACGATTTGCCATGAATCAAAACAGATATGACCCATTACTGTGTGTGTGTGTGTGTGTGTGTGTGTGTGTGTGTGTGTGCATACTAACAAAAGTACTTTCCTCACGTACAATATTTATCCATATATATTAGCTAACCACGTACTGCACTTATTCTGCGTTCAGTAATGATTCACAGTACTTAGAAACACAAGTACTTACCTACATACAGTACTTATCCACGTACATCACCTATCTCACGTACATTAATAATCTGTTGTACGTAGAACCACAAGTAATTACCCACATACAGTCCTTAAACCACGTACAGTACTTACTTACTTCACGGATTGCACTTTCTTACCTTATGGAAAGTACTTATTTACCCCTCGTACAATAATTACTTATCGTACGTACAGTACTTACCCCATGGAAAGGACTTAGTACTTACTCCACATACAACACTTCGCTCACGGACAGTACTTACTTATTCCACATACAGTACTTACCCCACGGACAGTACTTACTCTACATACAAACACTTACCCCACGGACAGTACTTACTCCACATACAACACTTACCTTACCCCACGGACAGTAGTTACTCCACATACAACACTTACCTTACCCCACGGACAGTACTTACTCTACATACAGTACTTATCCCACGGACAGTAGTTACTTACCCCCCCCCTGTCTCCCTACGGTCACAGCACCACAAGTACTTACCCACAGTATCCAAGGCAGTGACGAACGGACAGTAACACAATAAGAGCCAGTACCGTGTTGAATTTTACCACCATCGTCGTGTTTAAAAAGGTCACTCACGTTTACATCTTCAACTTCGCCTTTTTCTGAGGTTTCTAAGTTCTTTTTTATTTTGTTTTTCTTGTTTTCGTCCTCTTTTGGTCTCTGAGGTTCATTCACTTTTTGGGATTTTGTTTTATTTGGTTTTGTTTTTCTTAATTGTTTTCGGTTTTTCTCAGTCGGTTCCTTTCTCGTTTTATATAATTGGTTTCTTTTTCGTTATGTTTTCCTTACTTGTTCTATTTTTGCTCTTTAATGATATTTCTTTTGTTTTTCGTTTGTTATTTTGCGTTTTCTATTTCTTTGTTATCAGTTTTGCTTATCACTGTGTTTTCTCTTTTTTTGTTTTCTGTTTGTCTGTGTTCTTCATTTAATGAGTCACTTCTCGTGTATTTTAGTCTCTACCTAAGTTATCAAATTTCCTCTTCGTTATTCACTTTATTAGTTATTAAAATATCGCATCATTATTTGTTGTTTTTTAAATTTTTATTTGTCATTATTATTTTCTTTGTTCTCTACTATTCGTTAATTTGTTTCATTCTTCACTTATCATCTGTTATTCTTCAGTGTGTCAGTAGTAATTTTATCTTCGTTAATTATTACCAAACATATTCCTGAAACATTAAACACAATTTTTGCTATGGGTGTAAATATATATATGCAGTATATATATTTTATTAATTTGATTTGTTGCAAAATACTGAAACTTTAGAAAATTTCGCTCAAGGTAATTTTACGAAATGTCTGTCTGAGTGTATGTCAAGTTGGCGGGAAATGTGTTGTTTATAAGTAAATTGTATGTCACTTGTTGATCCTTTGTGTAAGAGGTTCCAATCTCCTTCTAACTAACTTAATCCTTATGATTGGCTTCTAGTCTCAGTTACTTATGTCTTGAAATTAATAGGGGTCCAAT